TATTACTGTAGACCAAAGTTAGTTTGTTTCTTCCAAGTAGTAAACCATTAAGGTTTAGATGGACTATTCAAAAGAAGAATTAAAAGGGTGGTCCAATAAAGCTAAATTAAATAGCTATGGAAAATCTTGATTATTTATAACAAGATATTGAAACTCGTTAAGTGATTCTAAAGTAATATTTGATAAAATTGTGTTATCAAGTAGTTCTCGTAATAACGAGTGTGGCCAGTGTGTTTATATTAAAAGCACATGGAAGTATATGTCCATAGACGACATTATAATCATGAGATAGTGATCATGATACTATTTTGAACGTTGAGAAAATATTGGAAAAGTAAAAAATAAAATTTTGATGTCAAAAGACGAGGGTCTAGACAATGTAATCTTATAGATGAAAATCACTAAGACAAAGATAGTCTTATTGAAAGTCTCATGTTAAGACACTACTAGAAAATTGATCTAGTTATCTAAAGACCAAGGGTTTACCTTGCCAAAAATAATGATGAAGAATGGTTCAATTACAAATATTTTTGGATAGTTTGGCAGCATAATGAATTGCAAACTAGTAAATATGTAATTCCAAAATAAATAATCATTCAATGATATTATAAGGGTTCTTAGGTAATCTAAGTATCGCCTTTAAATGGATTACATTAAAGAAAATATCCAATTGTATTAGGAAGGAACATTGGATGTATGAGTCCACTAAGATTATGTATCTTGGAAATCCTCAAACAAAATTGAATAGCTCGATTCATGGTCGAATTCGAATGTATAACTTGAGATAAGGTTAGAAAAGAAGTTGAATAAACTTCATAAAATTATTGGAGGATGTTCCGTGTTGGACTAAGTCGGTGTCTACAATTATGAATAAATTGTGATAACCAATCGGTTACGTTAAGGGCACAAACGACATGTATAATGACAAGTATCGATACACTCGTACACATAAGACCATTAGGCAATTGATCTCAAAGGAAATAATATAACATTGATTATGAAAATCAATGGTTAATAGCGGATCCGCGACTAAAAGTCAACTAAAGAGATCAAACATATTGCCTGTCTAGGGGAGTGAGATTAAAACCCATAAATTAAGGACAATCTTGGTGGTAACCCAACCATGCTGACTGGAGATCCCAAGAACTGGTTCAAAAGGGACAACTAAGCTAAGAAAGTTCAGTGATGCACTAAGGAGTATATATTCCTATGGAATAATATATTTCCAACTCATTCCCGTGATAGACATTAGTGCTGCCTGCAGAGAGGGTAAAGGATAAGCGAAAGCTTTTAATGATTCCAAAACCTTATAAGAAAAGGTGAGGTATTGGCAGGATACCTTTAATAGGAGATCACCTATGTAAGTGTATGAAGTGAGGGCCGCTTCAAAAACTTGACAAACACTTATGAATCCAAGATGTGTGTCCATGGCCAAAACGGACACAATCATGAGAACTAAGGAAATGTGAGAATAGTATTGTGTGGGTTGCATTGTCTTGGTTTACACGAACGGCTGACAGTTCAAGACATCGCGTTCACTACTCAGCCTAGTAAATCCGATGTAACTCCACTACGGAAAGGTCAAAGCTATATGCTACCTATCCCGATGCAATACTATTCGCGGGAACTCTAGAGAGAATCGACGCCCTCGTTTTCATTCATGTGGGGGATTGTTGGGAAAATTGG